GTAGAATCGAGACATACACGGGGGTCGATACTACCGAATCGTCCGGTTCAACGAGGAATCCATCCCAGCACTAAAATCTGCTTTGCATACAGAAAATTTGACACTATTTACCCTTTAATGCCCCAACCATCCAGAATTGTGCCAGATTTTGACCGACTTTTTTCTCCGTGCACAGATTTGGCTCAATGTTGTCTCCTGGTAGTTTGACCCCTGAATACGAATATCACATTCGCTTAGCCCGAGACTTCCTGGCGCCCGCGCCACAGGCGCCGGTGGTTCGGGATATTTTGGCGCCAGCGCCTGCAGCGCGGCCGCCAGGAGGTTTCGGACCAAGCGGATGTGATATTCGTGTTCAGGAGGTCAGACTACCCCTGGGAACAAGTTTTCAGCGAATTTGGTGATTTAGTGTTTTGGCGCCGGCGCCTGTGGCGCGGGCGCCAGGGAGTTTCGTGCCGAGCGGATGTGATATTCATGTTCAGGAGGTCAAAATACCCCAGGGAACAAATTTTCAGCCAATTCTGCCAACGCAGTAAAAAGTCGGTAAAACTGGCCTGTTTTCGTAAGACTGGGCAGTAAAGCGTAAATAGTGCCGAAAATTTTATACCCAATCACTATTACCCACGTTTCAAGGAGGAACGGACATGGAGGGTATTGAAAGTCTATAAATTCATGGAGCGAATCGTGCTTTTCACAAAGCCACTCTGCACTGCGCCTTATAATGAGGTGGTTTTTGTGGCCCAGCGTTCCTGGTCCAGTTCCAAGTCGAAGCCGCTAAGATTCTAGTCATAATGGATTGACATAATCCTTTACCAAACGGATTCACATTTCCAACCTTGGACAACCTGTTAGAGCGTCTCTGTTTAAATTGTATCAATAATTCTTAGTCATTTAACTGCAAGAAAAAAAACCACCAGGCTTTGGTAAACATTCTCTCTGCGGAAACTAATCAGAAATCAGATTGCGTCAGAATGACGCGGCGCGAATTATGCACGAAAAGAAGGTTTTTCTATCTCAGAAAGACCTCCGCCAAGTTACACGTGCAATCAAGGAGTGCATGATGACATCAATATAGCCACGCATTGACATACAGTTCACGGCTGTTAATGGTGAACATCTCATAATTCTAATCGATGTTTAGGAAATATAATAACCTTTTGCCATGCACTGATGCTATTT